GGCACTGAGTGTTGTGGGCTGCCGCCCTCTGCGTCCCGGCCGGTGTCGGTGGTGGCCCCGGCCCCGGTCCCGCTCTCCTCCCGGCGGTGGCGGGGCCGCCTCTGGGCGTGCGGGCCTCGCTGGCGGCTTGAGCCCGGCAGACGAGCGGCGGTGAGGGAGCGGGTAAGCACGAAAGCGGGGCCTGTGCTGAGGGGGAAACGCGCTGTACGCGGGCAGGGCCCAGCCCAGGCCCCAGCTCTCGTCCCGCCATCGTTTGTACTCCTGCACTGGTACCCTGCTGCAGAAACACTGCGTTTTTTAATAAATCTGTTGATAATTCTGTGTCTTTACATGATCCCAATCACAAAACCAGCAAATCATAAAATCAGACTTCCAATATATCCTATTACATTTCACACAGCTGCCCCTCGAAGTGGCATAATATTACATACAGCTGGCAAATCGTTTTCCAGGAGGTCCTAATTTAAAACCACCCATGCTTGCCTGTATATAATCTAGGTAGCTCACATAACAGCTTAGTCTTTGCTTTTGTTCAACACCGCAGATCTTTGCCTTTTCTGAAACATTAGTTTTATTTTTTTTTTACAGCTCGTCGATGAAAATACCAAGCTCTATGGTGTTCAGTATTGATCTCTCCTGAAGTCCACCAGGAGTCCTGCTGTTCTGTGATGAAAGCAGTATTTCTAGGATGTGTTTTAAACTGGTTTTCACCGGTTAGTAGCTAACAGGTTAATATTTACCATGTTATTATGTAGCTCTGCTTTTTAAACAAAATGTCATCTAGTTGTATTTTTGCATGTTCACCCCTATCAGCGAGTATGTTTTTGTCAAAGAATTAAATCAAGTTTGTTTGGTAAGGTTTATTTTCAAAAAATAAAATTAAATAAAATTCATGCTGGCTCTTGTGTTTTCATTTGCCCTGTCTTTAATTTTTTATCTGTATTTTCTTCCAGTTTCTCCTTTGGTTTGCTTTAGACTGATGTCACACTAACTAAACTGGAGGCCACTATGGATGTCTTCCTGCCACTTCACAGTGCTGGCACACAGATCAAAGGAGAGGCAAAAGCAGTAGGTGCTGGTGCAAAAGATGGTGGATTCATTTGTTTGAAATTAAGTAGCTAGCTGGTTTTGCACTCCAGACCAGAGTGCAACATAGAAATGGCCAATACTACACTAAATATAACATACCAGCCTAGACACAGCAGCGGATAGTTTGCTCAGCTTCTGAGAAGCTGTCAGCAGCATAGGCATACCCTTCAAAATAGTAGCAAAGGCAGTTTGTATATATGTTTAGAAAAAGGGATATGTAATAAAATAGATCAATACACAACATTTCCTTTTGGTCTAAGCTAAAAGAGACCAAATTGTTTTCCAGATTTTTTCATGACTCCTTCCCATGCATGATCCAGAAGGCCCTCTGCCCACAGTACTATCCTACAAAGAACAGTCCTCTCTTCGCCACCTTCCTCCTTACAAAACTGAGGGCCTTTAGCGCAGTCACACACAGGAGCATGGACTCTCCCTCTGTCCTGACGTGGTTGTCTGCCACTTCTCTATTTCTGGGAATACCTACATTACTGTGTCAAGTAATACCTATAAAAAGACAGAGATATGTAAATACAACTTTTACAATTTTCAAAATCAGCTGCAAGTCTCAGGCAAAAATAGAGTCTTGAAATCGTTTTCAGTTCTTGTGTGAGTTAACTTTAAATAACGGAATTCTTTCTCCAGCTTATTTCATAGATAATGAAATAACTCCTTTACATGGCACACTGAAAACACATGGCCTATAAAAGGGAGACAAGAGAGGGAACAAAGACATTCATGTTAATTTAAAAAATTTAAAGCATTAGCTTACTAAAGTGCTTAAGGGTATTATGCAGGGATACATCTGAATTAGTGCTTTAAGATACTTTTTTTCTTATGAAACGTCATTTCACATTTAACTGTGTATTTGTGTAAGTGAAACTGGATGTCTGAGTGCCTCAGTCTATTCTGAAAATATAGGCTGTTCGGAAATTAATTTCCGTTTTGTAATTTGATTTTCATTGTATATGTGTCAGGAATAGTACTTTCTCAACTGGCGTACTGTTATATATTTTTTAAAAACTCATGTTATGAACTTTCATGCTGTATCATTAAATTATAACATAAACTGCGTTTTTGACAAATTTTGGAGGTTTGAAGTTCAGATGTCAAAACAGCAATTTCGACAGATCTACGAGTTCAAACTTGGATGTAATGCAGCGCAAGCTGCTCGAAACATCAATGAGGTATATGGCCAGGCAAGTGTTAATGAATGGACAGTACGACTTTGGTTCCAAAAATTTTAATGTGGTGATTTCGACCTTGAAGATCAAGAAAGTCACGGAAGGCCTTCTGCTATTGACAACGATGAATTGAAGGCTCTGGTGGAAGCAGATTGTTCTGCTGATTAAGGATAGCAATTAAACTCAGACACCAGAGTGAAAAGAACAGGCGTATTTTACTAGTGATAACAGTGTGTCCTGGTTCAGCTAGGATAGGGTTAGGTTCCCCAGCAGAGAGGAGGAAGGGATCTCCAGCTGGGTTATTCATACCATGCTCATGTCAGGTCCCCCACAGCAGCATGGGAATTTTTTCTTTTGTGGCTTTGGTGGTGGGGGAGTACGGGGCTGTCTGTGTGCTAGTTTGAAAACAAACTAGTGGGAGATACCAAGTCAGAATAACAATTTAATAAGGAGAAAAAAAAAATTATAAAGGCAGATAACACTGGGTTAAACTAACAGAGTCAGGATACAACCTGACACCCTGTTAATCAGGGTGGTGGTAGCAGTCTGGTAGAATGGTGGCTGCAGTCCCCCCGAAGCAGTGATCCCGTAGAAGAAAAAAAAAAAAAAAAAGATCTGCTCTTCCTCAGAAAAGTCCAGTGGTGGCTAAGCAGCTCCTGTCCTCTAGAAATCCAGTGGAAAAGAGAGGCCTCTGGTATTCAGAATCTCCAGTTATATCCAGGATGGAATGCTGGTTTTCTCCCTCTGGGTGGAGCATCTCACAATGGGATAATGAGTCATGCTGCATGGCATTGATGGGCCATTAGCAGAAAGATAGTCTGAAGGGTGGGGGGGAACAAGGAAACACTGCCCCACCAGATTTCCACAGTTCATGAGGATGGTAATAGAATACACTGCAACCCAGGACAGTCTGTAACCATTGTGGTATTTCTCTGTATATCTTTTGCCTTGTTTACTGTGATTACTGTTTATTGTTGTTATCATTGCTACTGTTGTTGTTCAGATTGTTTATCACACTGTTGTATTAAATTTCTTCTTATTTTAACCCGGGTTTGTGCCTCACTTCCAGCCTGACCGGCTGAGGGTGGGGGAGGCACAACGGCAACGTGGTCTCTGGTCCCGGCAGGGCTTAAACCAACACACAGTGTAACACAGAAAACATGCAATAAGAAAAAGCAGAATAGTGCACCTAAAGCAGCAAACAGGAAAATACAGGGTAATGCATCAAATCATTACTACATGAGAGAGAGAACCGTGATTAAGAAAGATGCATCACCACTTGCATGTGTTCCCATCACCCAGCCCCGCAGTGGCTGGGCAGCCCCGGTTACAGCGAGGGTTTGGGGAGCCTGTCCCGGCAAGGGGGAAATCCTACGCGGTGCCTCCACCCATAGGTGAGGCTGCCAAAGTCGCTGTGAGCGGGTCCGGCCTTATATACCAGAGATCGGCCAGCCAGAATAGCTGGCACCTTTGTTTTGAGTGGAAGATTTCTGCCTTCATTCTCCTGTTGGATTCCACCCAAAGCCTGGCCAGGGCTCGGAGCGGGGAGACCAAGGGAGTTTCTAACAAGGGCAGATACGTGGGTTCTCAGCTTGAACAAGGCTAAACTAGGGAAGTTGGATACATTCTCTCCTCACTACTGATTATATTTTGTCTAAGCCACATCTTTCACTATCGAGTTTACATACTTTGTTAATGATTGCAGACTAAGTTAGCAGCTTCAGCTTGGGGCCTGTTGTTCAGGCTTCAGTACTTCAAAGCTTTAGCACTTTTTACATCAGCATAAGTGCGTTGTTATAACTTCGTACAATACCTACTAGCACAATGGTTTCAGTTATAAAATATACAGGATTCTTCTATAGGTCAACTCTGGCTTGGGCCAGTTGTCCAAGCCTTAGCACTTCACAGGTACATGAACAACTGAGAACTTTCAAAAGAACTCGGGGTAAGCATATCAACTGTTTCTGAGCATCTGAAGAAGATTGGAAAGTTGAAGAAGCTCGACAAATGGGTGCCACATGAATTGAATGAGAATCACAGAAATCGCAGTTTTGAAGTGTCATTGGCACTTCTTTTTCGCAACCAGAACGACCCATTTCTCGACCGTATTGTGATGTGCGACAAGAAATTGATGCTCTATGATAACCAG